ATCACCGGCCGAGTTTGGTATGTATTTTACTGTATGCCAACGAAAAATTTATTTTCTGGACCGAAGCTCTTAGCCGACTTAGGAACGAGACCATCCCAAATATTGGCTTAAGTGCATTCTGGTAATGCATTTTTGACCGTGGTCAATTTGCTTACACCAGTTATTACCACACCCCCTGGCTAATGTATTTGAATAGGCCAGGCATACAGTAAGTTCTGATATGTTCATATGATTATGATTTGATATGATTCCCTCCTGATATGTTCACCAGTCACCACCCACCAAAGGAAACTCACAAAAAATCAGCTCTTGTCTGTTTGGTATAGGTAGGTGAGGTTATTGCGTCGAATAACTCGGTTTGTTGGATTGTTGACTTACATACTCGTGCATCAATGGTGACGTAAAATGTCGCGATGATGGTAGCGATACACGGGACAAGCAGCGTATGCTTCATGATGGCGATTCTATGTAAGAGGTTGAAGGTTGTATTAGGCGTCACCAGTAGCAGCCGCCGCTGAACGGGCCAGTTTATGTGGATTCTTCAAGGCCTGTTCAGGCCAACAAGTTAATGCGACATAAGTGGAGGGTTGACAAATGTCGGCCGTTGTTTTCTCAGTCGATGCTTACCGGTATTTATGGCTGTCGGAGTGGCGTGTCGACTGTCGACTGTTGAGGTTGAGCGCCCGAGCCCCTATTACAGTCGAAACCCGCAGTCGAATGCAATGCATTACAAATAAAATGTGCATTACGAGTTTTTCAGTCCAGCAATAAATTCGTGTGATGGTTGACGGAATCTTGTTTGCTGTAAATAGATTCGTGTGCCTGGTTGTCGTAGTAACCAGGTGCTGAGACATCGCGCAGCAAAAGTGACACTGCAAGTTCGACCTAGCGCCGGGTGACTCTGCTGTTGATAACCTGCGGCTGCAGCCGGCAGTCTGGTCTCACTATAATGTATGCCTGCTACCAACATGCCGAAAGACTGTGACTGCCTGCCAAGTACATGAATATGACTCGGACGAGTCCAATGACAGTAGTGAGGAGTACAGTGAGTCGGTTTCTTGGCGATTTGCGTGGGAAGTTTTTTTTTGTGTGTGCTGGATGGCTCACCCAACATTCACCGGTGTCGCTTCATAACATAGAATAACCTAAGGCACCCCCAAATATATAGTTTTCTCACCCGTTTTAGTGAAAAGTGGCCGTTTTAGGCCACTTTTTTGCCCATTGCATCAGTAAGAAAAACGTTAACATTTGCAAAAATAGAAGAACCTATTCCGTCTCAGCTGAATCAAGTAATTACCGTTTGGTAACTTGGAACAAAGGTTGAATTATATGAATAGCATGATCACCACGCCGTCGGAATTTTGTCTGGACAGACCCATCCTGAATCATGAGTTCTATCAGGAGCGGAGGGCCCACGCTAGCTTCCGAAGGCCCCTTATGCTGACATCTGAAGCCTCTTGCGCTGGTCACCGATGGCCCTAAGGCAACCTCCGACGACGAAATCCACATGTCCCCTATGATCACTTGCGGGCCACTTACAGGGCCCGAGAGGTAAAGGCCCCTGAAGACTCCAAGCCGACATCAAAGTGGCCATCCCACCCTAACACTGGAATTTGGATTTGAGTTGAGATAGTCAAATTGACGTCCCCAGCTCACAATCACCGGTTTCGGCACTCGTATCACCGATAAATGTCCTAAATCGTAAATATTTAATTTCAAAGTTGCAGCACTTGGATTAAGAGGGACTAATGCAGTTGAATGCCCCCTCTAACTTTGCGATGTCAGCGCAGATCTGCAATGTTTAAAGCTTATACAAAAACCTTGGTAAAAGACACTTGTTGCTGTGATGGTAAATACTGCTTTGTTAAAAGCTGAAACTCTGCTTGAGGCTCATGATGAATAATAATATAAATAACCAGTAACCTCATAATATAAATCAGAAATAGGAGCCAAAAGGTTATATTTAAAGTTATCGAATATTTCGCTCCTGGAGCTTCGTCAGCGATAATTACAGAAAAACATATACGTTTTAAACATGGAACAACAAAGAACACTGCAGAATAAATAGCAAACTCATGCTACACTTCGCAAGGGACCGACATTTTTGGCGAAGTTTGAATAGGTACAATATGAATGTATGTATACAGTGTACGTATTTACAATATACACGTGTATAGGTACAATAAACAATAGCTTTACATACAAACATAATCGACTACATGTGCACTGCATACATTACACATAATATCATCAATTATTCACATGTGATTGTTATAACAATCACATGTGAATAATTGATGATATTATGTGTAATGTATGCAGTGCACATGTAGTCGATTATGTTTGTATGTAAAGCTATTGTTTATTGTACCTATACACGTGTACATTGTAAATACGTACACTGTATACATACATTCATATTGTACCTATTCAAACTTCGCCAAAAATGTCGGTCCCTTGCGAAGTGTAGCATGAGTTTGCTATTTATTCTGCAGTGTTCTTTGTTGTTCCATGTTTAAAACGTATATGTTTTTCTGTAATTATCGCTGACGAAGCTCCAGGAGCGAAATATTCGATAACTTTAAATATAACCTTTTGGCTCCTATTTCTGATTTATATTATGAGGTTACTGGTTATTCTTATATTATTAATGCTTTGAGCGTAACATCTGTCGCACTTTCAAGATACCAAATTATTGCTTCCAAATGACGTCATAGGAACAGCGGAAGCCCCCAGAAATAAAAAAGTGAAAGTCTAATATTTATAAAACTAAGGAATATTTTCCGGTGAAATTCTGTAGACATTCATTTTTGCTCTTTCTAAACCACAGTACATTACTTTTGTGCCAATTCATTAACTTTTTTGAAGGTGGGGGGGGGTTCCCTTTAAGGAATCCTTAGATAGCCTCTGAGCACCTTCATCTCACCTCAACCTACACACAAACCTGCCCCTGATAACACGCCACCAGCCTGCGAGAGCCCCATACCATAATCAGGGCCTCGTCTAAGGAATTTTCACTGGGGGGCAGACTGAAGGAGCCCGACCTAGGGTACCACTACCACCCCCAAATCCTGTTTTCTCACCGGATTTCGGCCACTTGTTTTTCATCACAGCCCTGAGACCATCATTAAAAAAAAAAACAGGCGATCCGAGCCAACCCTAACCCTCGCCCGTATACATGAGGGGGAGGGGGGTGGTCGCCCCTCGGTTTTTCGCAAATAACTCGCGTAAAAAGCGACTGATTGCGACGAAACTTTCAGTTTCCTCACGCTCATCAATTTCACATCTACTCTGAAAATTTCATGACCCTGACCCAAATGACCTTTGACCTGTTACTTACTTTTCGAGACCATGTTTGGCCGGAATCGCGATTCGGCGTATGTCGGCTCGCATTAGCCGAACGTTTGCAGTCTTTTCGTGGCTTCAAGCGTTCAAACATGTGTAATGATGTCGGTCCCATGCATTCGCCCCAGTGGGGGGGGGGGGGGGGCATATGTTACCACCCTGTCGCGTTTTTTTTTTTGTGTGAATAAAGCGCCGCTCGGATTATCTTTCTGTACATCAATTTTGGACAATGTGTGGAATTTTTGACCCCAGGTCATGTCAGGTCAGGTCACCAGGTCAAGTTAACTGACCAAGCCTAAAAAAAGTTTGCAATCATGTCCAGCCTGCAGCGTTTGTCAGAGAGGTTTCAGACTTGGTGGATTGCATGATGTTATGGGCACCTATAATTTGTAGGTATGTCTCGGATTTTTTTTTATATCTGTGACCTAAGATCAGGACAGTGGCGTGACCTTTCCATTATAGGTCATTGGAGAAAAATGAAAATGCCTCTAGATCCGTGTGTACACATAGCAACAGTCCAAATATTTTAGAAGCACAATGATTTGGACCACCCGTGACGACCAAGGTGTCCTTTTTGCTGATAGCCTCTAGAAAGGTGATCCGATGTCATTTGAGGCTACAAACAGATTTTGCCAATAACTCTCGATTTGAAATAGATAGAACGCTGAGGATGGCTTCATTGTGTTTGTCTTGTCGAGACGCATAGATTGATATGCAACATGACCTTTTTGGGTCACCATGTGACCTTGACTTGAGGTCAAAATTTGACCTTGACCTTACCAGGTAAAAAATATATGTTTCGAGCGACTGAAGGAGAAAAATACGATAGTGCCATTGCCAAATCTTCATATTCGCTGGTTCGAAAGTTATTTGTGAAAAAAGTATCCAAAAACAGCTAGTTTCACAATATTTGGCCTATGGAGGCTTAACCATTGACCTGAGGTCAATTTTGATGATGATCTATCAAAAGAATAGTTCAAAAACTATCGATTGCTGTTCCATGCGCTTTTCTAGCTATCATAACTTTCCTGAGATAACGGCATGTTTTCTGAAAATATATAATGACATTTGGCAAATTTTGAAATTTGATGACCTTTGGTGACCCCAATATTGCTCTAAGATGAAAAATGACTGAAATACTTTCAAACATACGCACTGAGAGCTATCGACTGCTTTTCACTGCGTCTTTCTAGCTGTTGGCGCCGCCCAGCAAGAGGGTTCGCCGCAGTGTGTATACGCGAGAAAATTGTCACGCGATTTTATAATTTCGAATTCAGTATTTTGTTTCCGTCTCAGCTGGAGTTTATTGCAAGTTTATTGCGCTAAATTGAATATGGAGTATAGTTAGGTGATATTTTGTGTTAAGTGTTAACATATTTGAACCCCGCCCCATAGGCGCGGGAGCCGGGGGGGCAGTGGGGGCAGCTTGCCCCCCCAACTCTGGGGCCGTGGGGGCGGTGCCCCCACAGCTTTGAGACGGAATACCACACTTTTTTTTGCAAATGTATTCTTTTTCTGTTGAAAAAGCCGAGGGGTGAAAAATAAGTGGCCTAAAACCGGTGAGAAAACTAGATTTGGGGGTACCCTAGGTTGATCTCTATTAAGGCGTGCCCCCCCAGTCGGAAAGTAGTTCCCGCGCCCCTGCCCCGCCCGCAGACTCATGTAAGTACGCATTTTGTTGTGGTAATAGACACGACTTTCGTTAGTAGTGAGAGTGACGATCTTGGTTATATCTGTAACGTTAGATCTTGTATGAGATGATTTAGGTAAATGCATAGTGTTGTTGTCCTTAAACCTATGTCTCCAAGTTGTATGACGTGATGTCATGTATTCCAGAAACGGCAACATGGAACTCAAGAGAGATATGTTTGTTTCTATTATTTGAGTAAGAAGATGCTCGAATAGTGCAATTAGACCGTATTGAGTGCGGTGGTAAAGGCCATAATTGATTTGCTGATTTAGCGTAATCAATAGTTTATGAGTCTTCGATTAACTTTTATGAAAAGACATTTTAAACTGAGTTATTTTAAAACACGTTACCGTGAAGATTTATTCTGCGTTTTGAAGCCAGAATCTTCAGCCAGCCACTGTAAGTCTATCGCAGCTTTACTATTCTCAAACCTTAAGTATTGAATATGGACAAACTCACCGTGTATCAACTGAAATGTGAGCTAAAGGCCCGCGGGAGAGGGACAGTGGCGGCGGATTCGATTTTGGCGTGGGGGGGCAAGATCCCAGTCGAGATGATGTCATAGGCGGATCCTGAAAGGCGTTTTCGACGCTGTAGGGGACATACCCCCCAAAAAAGTCCAAAATCCAAAAACTCCTCGGATTCCGATTCCTTACGGATCTACTGCTGAACAGTATAAAGCAAAAAATCCTGATAAAAGTGTTATTATTAGGAAACATAAGGTACGTTTTGTCTATTTCGGGCGATGCAGGGGCCAGGGGAGGGAGAGTAAATATTTGCTTTAAATGCCCGCTCCCTGGATCCGCCAGTGGACGATGTAACGCTTTTCGTATTGCTGTATTAAAAAAAGCTTCAATGGGAAAAGTTGTGCCATAACCCGATCGCATATTAGATGTTGAAGAACGGTTCCAAATCTTTTGAAGTAGGCGAGCGCTATTCTTCAATGAGGTAACTCGTTACCATTTCCTCTGTTCATTTGACGTTCGATTTCCTAACCTTTAAGCCTTCCTTTAAAAACGTATTTCTGAGACAGATATCAACTGAAACTAGCTCACAGCGGGAGGAGACCGCTCAAACATTCAGAGACAGTCGGTCGCATCTAAACCTATTGGGACAGCGATCCGCCAGAAACCCTCCCCAAGGCAGTAGTTCGCCAACTAAGCTCACCGAGACGGGCCGTCTCGATGGGTTTATATAGTTAGCCTACAGCAAGGCATAACTAAGGCCCAAATGCTCGTCAAGCTGGGAACGGAGGGCTGAGGTGAGGGAGCGTGGCGGTGGGCTGGGGTGAAGGAACGGTGGACTGGAACGAGAATCCAGAAGCTCTGGGTAGGGCGTTTCTTTTAGGGCTTTAGGGTGCGCTGACTGCGGTAAGGTCCAAATTATCACACCAAATTTTGCCACATCTACCGATTCAGACACTCGAGAATCAGCGGCCAGTGATATCTGCAAAGACGAAGCATTACCAAACCCAGCTTCAACCTGGTGTCAGGGTACCTCAGCCTCAGGTGGCTTTAATTACAGTTGCACATAGGTACCAAACGACCTCAGTGCAGCTAGTCTGTGACCGAAACCATTCGGAACAGACTTCAACAAAAAGTGAGACAAGGTTAGTGCTATCGTTAAGTGCCATTATAGACTTGGGCCCCGTTGGCTTGACCCACTGTGGTAGTTATCGTACGCTGCGGGGCATACTCATTTTTCCAAAATGCTTCAGATTTCGCTTTCGTGTTCATAGGCGGCGGAACGGGGAGGGCACCGGGGCACCGTGACCCCCTTTGATTTTGGCATTTTAACGTTAGCCCTATGGGCATTGCATGGAAAGAATGGGACCAAAAGTCGGCAGCCCCCCCCCCCCCCTTAATTGAAGGTGCACCGCCGCTACTGTTCGTGTTTGATGCTCTTTATTCTATAGTCAGCCTTTAGACAGAGGGGGCCCACTAATGATCAGTGCCCTAACCCTCAAAAGTTTCCAACATTAATTTTTACTTTTTTAATAGTGAAAACTGAAATAAAGCGGATACTGAACTGTGAACATCCAGTTTTTACACTGGCCCCACACAAGCCTCCGAATGCCCAATGCAGATCTCTGATGACTGGCCTTTGGGTGTCATACCATACCGTGCATTGGTCAATGTCGTCAATGTGTACGACCTCGGCGTTTACCATTTTATGCGCTGGAAACTGTTGCGCTCGAATAAATCAGGGGAGTGGCTTATTATGAGCGCTCATCAGTCCTAACTACCTGTAAGCGAATGGCTAGCCCTTCCGTCTCCGCTCGCTTGCGATTTGGCATTTATGTAGGTACAAAATAGAGGCAAACGACCACTGAAGGTATGAGTTGCGTCTCTTGCACACTATAAATCGAATCTGAAAAGACAAAAACAAAATGATATAAAGCGGAAATGGTTAATATTCAAAAGGCACCGTTGGACAAACTGTAGGAACGCATAGCTGCAATATCAGGTTATGGAAATTTTCCTCATGTTTAGGGCACAAATTATGGAGGGGCAAGAATATACGTTTGCCCCTCCTCCAAAAATTTCTTAGGGAACGATGCCTCCTCTCATGCCACCCAGTAGGTATAGGTCGCCCCTGTAAGCGGTCACTGAAGGCCTGGGTTTCCGCTGCGTCACGTTGACGCTTATAATGCCTCCAAAACTAGGTTGAAGAGAGGAAAACTTCAATTGAACGTGAACGCTTGCCATTTAAGAAAGGCAACGTATGATAAAGTATATGGGCATCTGGTTACATCTTCAGATGATCGAACAGAATAATCAGGTACATGGTTTCTTGTCTAAGCTTTGTCACAAATTATGGGGGGGGCAAAAAGATACTTTTGCCCCCCCACGAGTTTGCCAGGGGGGGCAGCTGCCCCCCCTGCCCCCCCGAATCCGCCGCCCCTGGAGAGGGACCACAGGGAATAAGGCTGATCTGGTTGCTTCGCTGCGTGATGCATTAGACGAAGAAGGAATTGATTTTGAGAGTTGGGCTGAATTTGTCCCAAGTAAGGCCGCTGGGATATTTAACGCAAATGAAAACATGCCCCAAGCTAGTGCCGCCTTACCGAGTGGGCAACGAAGGAATACCGTCGAAATTACTGGAAGTGGCGAAGCTCCTCAAATAAGCGATACTATTTCTATCCAAACATCTGCATCGGCCGCTGAAATGACAAGGTTAAAATTGATAGAAGAAGACGCGCTTCGTGCGGGCTTAGAAGCACAGCTGAAAATTGTGCTAGAAAAACAGGAGTTAGATAGAAAGATGTCTGAATTGGCAAGACAGAAGGAAATTCTTGAATATACAGAGGCTATAGAAATTTCTAGAGCCAAGGTGAGGGCGCTAGGTAGACATGAAGACCATGAAATAGTTGAATCGAATCGCGACAAAGAGACCCCGAGATCGATATCGAATGCTACGAACGACACGAACACGACAAACCGAAGGAGCCACGACGGCCATCTAAATACTGAGAGCAGCAATATTGCAGGACTGTTGAGACGAGAAAGGGAAATAACTGCTGGGTTGATGCGCTTGCCGCCTGTTGAATTGCCCAAATTTGGAGGTGATGTTACTGAATTTCCTCATTTCATGAAGGCATTTAACCTAAAAATTGCCTCAAAGCTGTCCACCGACGAAGAAAGATTATTTTATTTAGAGCAGAATATGATTCCAGAAAGCAAGCCACATAGTATCGTTACAGCTTGCTTATACCTGGATAACGGCTACGAAGAAGCTAAGAACCTTCTCACACGACGGTACGGTTCAGAGAGCGTTTTGGCAGCGGCATTTGTTGATCAATTTGAAAATTTATTGCAGTTGAAACCAGACGATATTGAAGGGTTAGACCATTTTGCACTGGAGCTTATGAAGTGCAAGAATGCCTTTGGTGTAAATAGCGCAGCCATGAGTGACCCCAGAACCCTGAGGAGTATAAGCGCCAAGTTACCCGTTCACTCGCAACACAGATGGCGACATCGAGCCGACTCCATTAATGAAAATGAGGGTAGAGCAGTGGTGTTTGATGATCTAGTGAACTTCGTTGTACAGGAGGCAAGAGTTGCAACCAATCCTGTGTTTGGAAATCGTGGGTCAAATGCAACTGTAAGGCAAAATAACTCTGTCACTGTGGGCAGATTTCGTTCAAAACCGCTGGTGGCCGCGACACGGATGGTTAGTGCCGGAGCAAGCCCATGTATTCACTGTCAAGATAAGGGGCATGAACTCACCGATTGTAGTTGCTTTGCGAAGTTGCCACACCAGGACAAAATTGCCATTATTAGGGATTCAGCGCTGTGTTACGGCTGCTTGAAGCAAGGCCATCGCAGTACTGACTGTAGACGACGAGCTAGCTGTTCCATTTGTGCTTCCCGACATCCTACATCTCTCCATATCAATAGATCAGGAGGCAACAGTGAAAGATCAGAAAATGGTGTCCCAAATGTAACATCTTGCACCACGAAAGGTGGTGCATCCGTCTCATTTAGACCGGCTCTCCCGATCGTCCCTGTTGTCCTACATCACGGTCTTGAAAGGAAATGTACACTTGCTTTTCTGGACAGCGGATCAACTCATTCATTTATTTCAGAAGGATTGCTTAAAACTTTGAAACTACAGAGCCTGCCACAGACCAGACTATCGCTGACAACAGTTGACAGAGAAGTTAGCATCACGACACGAATAGTCAACGGAGCTTGGTTGTCGGACGAGAATGGTGGGAACATTTTAGAGCTGCCTCAGTTGTTTTCTCTCGAAAAAATTCCAGTGGACTTTGCTGATTTTCCTACTCAAACTGAAATAAGTAAATGGAAACATCTGGAAGGGGTCAAACTAGATCTGTGCCAAAATGAAGAAGTTGAACTTTTATTGGGCTCCAACGCCTTTTTAGCCATGGAACCATTAGAAGTGGTGACAAGCAACGGAGAGGGTGGTCCTTTTGCCGTGCGAACAAGATACGGATGGGTTGTGAGCGGTCTCCGTGGGGTATCATCACCATTTCCAGCGAAATGTTACAAAACACTGGTACATCCTGAGTTGCAACACCTTGAAGGGCTTGTATAACAGCTATACAACAAGGAACATGAAGAAAATCTACATTCAAATAAAATGGGACCATCTGTTGAGGACAAGAAATGGGAGAAATTCGTTCACGCGTCAACTAGACTGATTAAAGATCATTATGAGGTGGGACTACCGGTTGTAGATGAAGGGCTGATTCTGCCAAATAACAGGAATATGGCGGCAAGCAGGCTACTGAGCTTGAGAAATAAGCTTAGGCGGAGTGATAAATTGGCGTCCGATTACAAGCTATATATGAAAAACATGTTGCAAAATGGTTTCGCAGAGCCCGTACCAAATGCCGATTTATCCAGAAATGATGGTAAGGTATGGTATCTTCCACATCACGCCGTTCAGCATCCCCAAAAACCGGACAAGGTTCGCATTGTATTTGATGGCGCCGCAACCTTTAAAGGAATCTCTTTAAATGACAATCTTTTGCAGGGACCAGACCAAACGAATGCACTTTTAGACGTGTTGACCAGATTCCGTATGGAGAACATAGCTTTCACAGCCGACAGGGCTGCGGAGTCGGAGTCGGAGTCGGAGTCGGAGTCGGTCGAAGTCGACAGTTGTGACCGGAGTCGGAGTCGGAGTCGGAGTCGATTTTAGAAACCCGAGCCGGAGTCGGAGTCGGAGTCACCGAAAATCTGTCGACTCCGCAGTCCTGCTAGGTCTGCGGAGTCGGAGTCGGGAGTTGGAGTCGGTCGGAGTCGACAATTCTGCCCGGAGTCGGAGTCGGAGTCGGAGCTGGTTTTTGAAAGCCTGAGTCGGAGTCGGAGTCGGAGTCGCCGAAAATGCATCGACTCCGCAGCCCTGACAGCCGATATTGAAAATATGTTCCATCAAGTTTATGTTCCAGAGTCTGACCGCGATTTATTCAGATTCCTGTGGTGGAAAGATGGCGATCCTCAAAATGATATATTGGAATACCGCATGAAAGTTCATGTTTTTGGAGCCACTTCTTCACCCAGTATAGCATGCTTTGCATTACGCAAGACAGCTTTAGACAACCGAGGGTGTTTCTCGAATGAAAGCTGTGCTACTATTGAGAAGAATTTTTACGTCGACGACTTGCTGAAGGCAATGCCTGACGAAGGAAGCGCTATACTGCTGCTTCGAGACCTGATGGTTTTGTGCAAACGAGGGGGATTTACTTTAAAGAAGATTTCGAGCAATAGTTCCGCTCTGATTGCATCCATTCCTAGCGAATCGCGGTCTAAGCAATTGGCGTACTGGACCAGCGATAGTAGTCACCTTCCCACTGAGCGAGTATTGGGTGTAATCTGGGACACTGAACAAGATGTGTTAAAGATGGCATTGGATCACGACAAGCTAGTTGCCCGGCCGATGACAAGACGAGGATTACTGTCAGCTGTAGGCTCCTTGTATGATCCAATTGGCATGTCATGCCCATCCATGCTGAAGGGACGCCTCATCTTGCAAGAATTGAGCAGGCTACATAATGGATGGGATGATAGTATTCCGCTTGTCAAGCAGCAAGAGTGGACGGCTTGGCTATCAGCTCTAAATGAAGTGAATGAATTGTCAGTGAATCGTTGTGTAAAACCTGATAACTTTGGAGACGTAGTATCTTGTCAACTTCATCATTTTGCTGACGCCAGTGAAGTAGCATACGGAACGGTTTCTTACATCCGGCTTACGAATGCCAAAGGACAAATCTGTTGTTCTTTTCTCAAGGGCAAGATGCATTTAGCGCCTCTCAAAGGAGCTACAATACCTCGTCTGGAGCTCATGGCGGCAACGACGGCGGTAAAAATATGCTCCCTGATAGGTGATACCATTGAATTCGATGATGTCGAGCATATATTTTGGACTGACAGCACCACCGTTTTAAGGTACATTCAGAACAAAGCGAAGCGTTTTCACACCTTTGTAGCAAATAGATTGGCAATAATCCACGATGGGTCAAGGCCAGAACAATGGAGGTATGTCAATAGTTCAGACAATCCAGCTGACGACGTGTCTAGGGGTGTCCAAAGTAAGAGATGGCTGAATGGACCTGAATTCCTTTGGAAGGACAAAGGCTTTTGGCCCTCAGCACCGATCGCCTTCAGGGAGGTGACGGAGGACGACCCCGAAGTGCGAAAAACGGCGATATGCGCTAAAACTGCGATTGTACCAGATTCTGAAACTCCGATGGAGCGGCTCATTTTACATTATAGTCAGAAAGAATCCCTGCTCAGAGGATTGTCGTGGCTGTCACGATTTACAAGATCACTTAAGGAAGGACAGAAGGGGTTTATAAAAATGTCTCCCCCTTTGTGCTATGAGGAGCAAAGTGAAGCAGAAAAGAAAATAATTCGACATATACAAGAACATGAATTTCCAAGGGAGTATGAAAACCTGTCAGTTGGCGCTGAGGTACCAAGAACCAGTCGATTAGTGAAGCTTCACCCTTTCATGCAAGACGGTATCATTAGGGTAGGTGGAAGATTAGCAGAGGCTTCGATTTTAGAAGAAACAAAACATCCTATCGTTATTCCGAGTCGTGGTCATTTTACAGAACTACTCATTACGGACGCCCATGAAGCCGTAGGGCACAGTGGGAGACAGTTCACGCTAGCGAAACTTCGAAAACGTTTTTGGATTCTGAAGGGAATTTCAAGTGTAAGACGTGTTCTAAACAGTTGTTTGAGTTGCACTAAACTCTACCGACCACCTGAATCACAACAAATGGCCAATCTTCCGTCTGACAGAGTGCAAGCTCAAGAGCCACCGTTTACGCGAACAGGTGTGGATTACTTTGGACCATTTTATGTCACTCAAGGTCGTTCACAGGTCAAGAGATATGGGGTCATATTCACCTGTCTTGCTATCAGGGCCGTACATCTGGAGGTTGCTGAAAATCTGACGTCAGACTCATTCATTTGCGCCCTGCGCAGATTCGTTGCACGTAGAGGTAATGTTCAAATACTAAGGTCTGACAACGGAACAAATTTTACTGGAGCCAACAGGGAACTGCGCTTAGAGATGACAAGGTTATCAGAAAATGAGCATGTGTTACAAAGAGCAATGCTCAAGCGAGGAATTACATGGAAATTCAACGTGGCAGGCGCCTCCCATCATGGTGGGGTGTGGGAACGTCAGATACGATCCATACGAAGAATACTCGAATCCCTTTTAACATCGCAATCGCTCAAGGAAGAGACACTCCGAACCATATTTTGTGAAGTTGAAAACATACTGAACAGTAGACCGCTTACGCCAGTATCTAGCGACGTCAGGGACGATCCACCTCTCTCGCCAAATGACATTCTTCTTCTGGGAGGACATGGTGTAACGTTACCATTCGGAGTCCTCTCCCAGGCGGACCATGGAAATAGAAAAAAATGGAAGCAAGCTCGTCATTTCGCAAATGTTTTTTGGACACGGTGGAGATCCGAATACTTACCGACTCTACAAGAAAGGCACGTTATGACAGAAACAAGAAAGAACTTTCAACCAGGAGACACAGTTCTGCTTGTTGATGATAGTGTTCCCAGAGGCCAGTGGCCACTCGGTTTGATTGAAGCTGTTCGAACTAGTTCCGATGGATTGGTTCGATCTGCGACTGTCCGAACAAGAGGGACAGTAATGCAGCGCCCAGTGACAAAACTGGTGAAGTTAAATTGAAACCTCTCGTTTTCGACCCCTCGTGGTTTCAAGGGGGTGGGTGTTGGCGCCGCCCAGCAAGAGGGTTCGCCGCAGTGTGTATACGCGAGAAAATTGTCACGCGATTTTATAATTTCGAATTCAGTATTTTGTTTCCGTCTCAGCTGGAGTTTATTGCAAGTTTATTGCGCTAAATTGAATATGGAGTATAGTTAGGTGATATTTTGTGTTAAGTGTTAACATATTTTGAACCCCGCCCGCAGACTCATGTAAGTACGCATTTTGTTGTGGTAATAGACACGACTTTCGTTAGTAGTGAGAGTGACGATCTTGGTTATATCTGTAACGTTAGATCTTGTATGAGATGATTTAGGTAAATGCATAGTGTTGTTGTCCTTAAACCTATGTCTCCAAGTTGTATGACGTGATGTCATGTATTCCAGAAACGGCAACATGGAACTCAAGAGAGATATGTTTGTTTCTATTATTTGAGTAAGAAGATGCTCGAATAGTGCAATTAGACCGTATTGAGTGCGGTGGTAAAGGCCATAATTGATTTGCTGATTTAGCGTAATCAATACTAGCCCTCATAGTAGTTTTCCACGTCCATTTTAAAAATTACCGAAAACAGTCATCCTATGGTAGCACTGTCGGATCCAGAAAGGCGGTCTTGGACGCTGCGGGGGGGGGGGGGGGGTGTATCTTCAATAAAGCTTTTCCAAATTAAAAAAACTCATTGGGTTCCATTTGTTACGCAGTACGCACTGCTGTGCAGTTTAAAACAAACTTAAGTCTCAATAAAAGTTGTTTATAGCACATTGTTGTCGATTTCGGGCGCTGCGAGGGGGCATTTTCCCTGGATCCGCCAGTGTGTGGTATTAAATAATAAAAAAAAAAAAAACTGAAAGCTCGCTTGAATAATGCGACGGTAACTTGGATCATTTCGTCTTTGAATCCACCGTTACAGCGCACCGTCACTGTTACAATAAAGAAGAAATCAACACCATCATCATATCATTGCATTTATTTCAGATATGTAATTCCAGATTTTGGTCTTCCTTGCCAATTAATGATGCCAATCCATGACCAACTACACTGTAGTTATGATGGATGAAACTTAACAAAACGCACTCGAATTATGCGACTGTAATGCTATTCTGTATTCAAATTTATCGTCCAGAGTGAAGCTGTCTAGGCCGACAGTCTCAGGCGAAGCAGGCAATTGACGTCAGATCAGAGGCCTCTTGCACCAAACTACCTAGCTAGGTAAAATCGAAAAACCGGTTTCAGAACGGCCACTGTGATCTGTGAACGGCCAGTCACGGCCAGCTCACAGTTCAGTCACAGCTACACTGGCGGTGGTAGCACGGGTGGCTGGTGCTGCAGGCAATTGAGTCGCAGTCGCAGTTGTTGTCGGTGAGCGTCCCGTTGATGACAGTGGTGCGCCAGCACGGGTGTGACGAGTCGCACGGCGTCAGCTGGTTGCAGTCGCAGCTAGGCTCGGTCTCGTTGCCGCTGGGCAGGCGGAAGCAAGGGAAAGCCGGGGGGCAGTACCGCAATTCTGCGCAGTCACAACTATCCGTGCAGTTGAAGTTGGGGTTGCCCGGGTTGCATGGCGGACCTGAAAAAAGATTAGGTTCAAGGTGAAAATATGTCTGAAAAAATGTGTCTTTTTATATGGCTGTTATATAAAACGATATCTGCTTAATAAAACGATCATCAAATTCTGACAAGCAGAGTCTTATATGTTCTTGTAACCACATTTGTGCGAAGTCGATATGTGAATTAGAAATGGTGAAGCATGCACGTCGCACGAGTGAACTTTTTAATTGTGAACTATCATAGTTAAGGTGTTTTACGGGCTCAGAAAATTTTAGGGTATCGGCCTGCTTTGGCTTTTGCTGCATTGCTCAGGCCACGCCCAGGCGGCGCTGACTCCGGGCGGTTGGTGCCATGTGCTGACAACTTTGGAAAATAGTGGAAAGAAGTCAATTCATATATTTCAGGAATCGGGTCGTAATGTTGAAGGGCCGTTGAGCGCCTATAGCTAGCATCTAGGGTGCTTAGCTGACATTGTCCAAGCTAGTGTTAAGTCTATGGGCTTAAAGAGAAATTATTCAAGCGTCTGATTCCCAGCGCGAGAAGTTCTTGGATGCCAGACCAGACGAATCAGCCATTTGGAAATTAGGCAATTTTGGGATGAATTACTTCTGATTGGGGCCTCAGGCACCTTTTCATATACCTCACACTGAATAACACAACAATTTCGGGGGTAAAATCCTTACAATGGCTTATAAAGAAAAGATTGTTTCTTCAAGACCAGCTTGCGCTTCATTTTTACCCGCACCCTCGAAATAAACGAGATCAGGAACCAAAATTTAAGTTGAAAAAGGCTAAGTTGAAATACATTTATTCACGAATTCGATGAATATTTTAGATGAGACCAAACACTCACCCTGCCCCTGGCCGGCGGCGTAGAAAACCGTACTGGCTGCTGCCAAAAACAGTACAAAAAGCGTCGACTGCATGATTTATGATGAATGTACGATATGAAGCACAATGTAAGAATGTGGACATCTGGCATACGGGTCAGTTTTATACAGTTTGTGCGTGACCTCAGCTGTCATTCTGACACGTGATGGCGTCAACTGTGACGGAGATTTATCCAAATGTCACACTGTGTGTTTCTAACAACCGTTTGACGCAGGGTAGTGGAGAGAAGGCAGTAACCAAGTGAAGCCTGGCTACTAGTGCTGTCAATTTCAGAAAACGTGTGTCCGATGTCCGTCCAATGTCCAATACTTACGTCGACTGTCCGTCCAAAAATATCCAAGCCAGCCATTTGTCCAAAGATGCCCGACACCTACGCAATATGTTGAGGATTATCAATAGACATGTACGGTTCTCCAGGGTATTAGTCGTTGGTCGCTCGGCGAGCGGGAGGGCAACCAGTTCCGCCCCTGTATCGCGTGCCCCCTTGCTCCGCCCAGTTACGCACGAGCGTACTCCACGCCGCGTAGTAGCGTGGGGAGGGGAGCGTTAGAATGGTGGCATGTGTAGAGGCTAGAACCGGTTTCCACCGCCATGCCACCGCCCAGCGACATGGAGCGGGGTCAGTGACCAGGGCGCAGGGAAAGGTCAGAGGTCAGCTATAACGTAGAGCTTTGTGTCTCCCTCCCCTCCGCGTGTAACGGCCGCACGACAGCGGCCGGCGGCCGATCAGGCTTGACATGTCAAGGTCACCCGCAGTCAACGGGCTCGGAGGGTTGGTCGAGTGCGCGTCCGTGGCTGACGACAGTCTCGACCATGTGCTATGGTGCCGATTAGTGATGTCAATTACGGAAAATCGGAATACCGGTACCAAACCAAATACCAACCAAAACCGTGGAGAAATACCGAAACCAAACCAACTTGGGAACATGAGCAAAATACCAACTTTTTACCTATTTCTTAGCCTCCTAAACATTAGCAAGGGTTCATGATACCAACAAAATACCAAACACATTAGCAGTGAAATACCAAATACCGAGTTGGTATCGGTTTGGCATCGGTATACCAAAAAGTTTGTATCCGATTGACATCTCTAGTGCCGATAGACTAGGGTGGGTAATAAGCTTTTGTTCAGTGCATATGGCTGCTCGGGTGCGTCATCTGATATGATGCTTTGTAATGTGTATGATACGTTTAAAACCTCGCTGGCAGTGGCCGAGAGGAGAAGAGGGGGCGGGGAGACGGGTGCCGCCTCCACATGTCTATTTGCTGCGAGAGCTGAAATTTTGCAAACCTGACCTTTGATTCCAGCCGAATTTGTATGACAGCAGCTGTATTTTAACCCTCGCTCATATTGGTGTTTTGCCAGCGTCTAGCATAAAGGGGAGGGGGTCCGTTGGACCCCTTTGCCGTTCAGACCCTGATCGAGCTAGAGCTTCGCGGAAAAAGAGCGTATTGCCCGTGACGAGAGGAGGCCGTTGATACACAATTTTAAGGTCCAAGGTCATTTGTTGACTTGATAAGTCAATATATACTCAAAAGTCGGGAAAATCGGGACCTGTTAGAGCCTCTTAAAGTGAGGCTGTTATAAGGTTTTGCGGGGGTGCTGATCACGAATTTCAAGTTAACTTTTATCACAGATGATGTTTTCGTGCATCTAGTCCAGGTCGGGTCAGGTCAGGTCAGGTCACATGTTACGAGGGAACCAAAACTACTTCGTAAATGCTCAAACGGTTTCTAAATGCGAAATCAACTCCAAAATCTACCCTAGAAGCATGTAGAACTCGAAGCAGTGAACTAAGGTCATCAAAGGTCAGTGACCTGACTGACCTTCACGTGACCTTGATACCCACTAGAATCCATGGGATCAACATCCTTTCACATGTTTGATCGCTTAAAGCCACAAAAAGACAATAAACGCGCTCATAATGTGAGTCAAAATACGCTAAATCGCGATTCCGGCCAAACATATCTCGGAAAACAGGTCACAAGTCAAAGGTCTTTTGAGTCAGGGTCATAAGAATTTTAAGGGTAGGCGTAATATTGATTAACTTGAGGGTACTGAAAGCTTCGTCGCGAACAGCCGCTTTTTGCGCGAGTTATTTGCGAAAAACTGAGAATGGGGCGTCTGTTCGACACCCTCTTACAAGTGCGAAGGTTAAGGTCAGGCCGTTGACCAATGACGTCAAAAGTGAACCTCTGTAAGGTCCCAAAATGTTGCGACGTCGCAACACCCTTCGTGCCAGGGGACCTTTCACTGGGTAATGAAGCTTATATGATCTACATAATACTATCTCCTAGAGGCCTCACAACTTGAATGTAGTTATCTCGTATTTTTCTTAAGAGTCACCTGAAGTCAAGTCGGTCACGCAACTTCACGATTATTAATCAATGGGGAAATATGAAAACTGTTATTTTGGCGCCGGGAGCCGTCTAAAGCTATCTCAAGCGCATTAATTCGTGATATTATACAATCTTTACGAGCCCCAGCATTTACTTTTGCATTCTTGATCTTAGGCGACTTCATGTATGACGTCACTAGGGTCACAGGAGTTTTCACCAAAAAAGTCCCGATCAAGTTGAGCTATAGCTCAACTTGAGCTATAGCTCGACTCGGCTATAGCCGAGTCGGGAAGCCACCAAAGGACTTGTGAGGACCTACCGAATCAAATAAGCGATACGACCTCCTTGGGCCAGCTTCGTGGACTGAGTGGCTCTGCCCTGATCATGACCTGAGGTGAACACCTTAAATTGACCTCAACAAAAATAAAGCGTATACTATTCGACGCGCTTGAGCATGCAAAACTCGATGGTGCCATTACCTTGGCTCTGTATCCAACTATGGTGAAGTTGTTTACCAAAAAACCGATCCCGCGACTTGGAGCACTTATTCTGACCTCAGAGTTTATCGTTTGACCTGAGACATTCAACTCGGGCACCAGCTGCTGCATCTCATACGACACACGCGCTCAGTTTTATCCGGAAGGCGCTAGCTCAATTAGGGGCGAAAAGACGGAGAGGGGTCGTAATCGCCCCCCCCCCCTCGGCCTGGGTATATGCAGAAAACCCAAAAGTCTGTTGAGGGTTAAGCACTGAAGTGATATATTATGATATGAGAAGATATAGGTCAAAACAAGTATGCGGGTGTGAATAAAATTGTATTTCAGGTGCCTGCCTTTTTAATTATACGTTCGATTTGCTTTAGTTATTGGTAAGAACAGAGGCAACCAGGAAGAGCGCCCCTGAAGAAAAGGTAGCGCACTTGACGGGTGCGATTTTAAGGTCTAAGGTCAGTCGGGGACCTCTAAGTTCGGGTCAAGCGCTCCATGTTAGGGGTAGAAGAATGGGGGCAAAAAAGCATCCCGATTTTGGCAGCATCGTCTTCGTCATGCTGTGTCACGGCACCTATCCACTCCCTCGCCCGAAATATAGTTCCCTTTTTGTATCAGTTCTGGCATAATCCCGCACATTATGCTGCATGCTGTTTGTCATGAAAAACAATGCATGTTCAGCTACGTTCTACGCAGTACGCACTAACCTAACCACCATCTCACCATCCATCACTAACCACCATCCCGTTCTGTGCTCCCTTCCACCCCACACGAATCAGCCGAGATACAAGTCAGTCGGGCTAGCGCTATCCTCCCCTCCCTTCCTGACTGCACAGCGCTGAAACCTAGAGCCGAGACTTCCCGACTCCCGAGCGCGACCTCTCACCCCACGCGGTCCGAAGGGTCGGCCGTTGCCTAAGGGCGCGCCGCCCGCCGGCCACCCGGATAGCCTCTGCCGAGTCTCCCTTTCATACACCGTTTACTACGCGCTCGACTCATTCATGATTCTGTGTTTCCGCGTTCCTCTCGTTAGATGGCTCTACTGATGTCATAGGCGATCCCAGGCAGATTGCGGCCAGAATACCCCAAACGGCAGAAAATGAGGTTTTTGGTGAATATCTCGGAAAGTATTTGGCATACAAGGATGCAATTTTACAGTCTAGTGGTAAATGTGCATACACACAATTCGGGTTCATACTTATGCATTTGAACATAATATAGGACCAGATATATCCAAAAAAGCAAAACCAACAAGACTTTTACTGGAGAACCGTACCACCTACGCAATTGTTTACACTCAACACTGTTATTTAATTTGCTCCTACCATTACCAGCTCAAAAGTGTTAATCATATCGAAAGCTGAGTTTTCTAATAGCCAATCAATGTTAAACACGATTACTTTATAAAAATGTTGAGGTGTAGCAAGCGATTGTCCAAAGTTGTCCAAAGCCTGCTGTCATTGTCCAAACGAATTCCGAATTGGACATTGGACAAAATCGGAATTCCGAAAATTCAAGTTCCGATTGACACCACTACTGGCTACAGCTTTGTGCCTTTTTGCTTTCATGTGTAGCAGCGCAGCGGACCCTTTCAGTTTTTAGAAGTTCACAACAGCGCGTAATGTTTTTTATTAGGGGAGAGTGTTCAATCTGCGCCCGGTCTCCTAATTGCGCCCTCGTCATTTTCTGTGAACCCAATAGGTCGATTCAGATTGGTGTTTAGAAAACAATTTATTAATAACAATCATCAAAAAAATATTTTTAGACCTACCGCTATCAGCGTCAAAGGCTGTAAGCCGCCTACTTGGAGTGGTTTTGTAAAATGTAGTGTTTTCTTATCCTGAGCCTGCTTGCTTATTGAACTGTTACTGAGTGTTCGTGAGGAAGGGTGGAGTAAAAAGTGATTTTAGTAGTATTATGGTATATGTGCCGGGTATGGAGAGACAAAAAAAAAAACAAGACGGCAAATGCATTATCAATATTTTGCTGCCATATGACACATTCCGAATTGCGCCCACACAAAATGCGCCATGGCATGGGCGCATTTAGGGCTAAGTCAAGACATCGAGGCTTTCAATGTTATCGTATTATGTTATAAAAAACGGTCTTTCAATAATTGGTGTTAGAAGCCGGAATTTGACCCCAGAAGGTCTGAGAGGCCCGTACTGACCAATAAGGACATTCAGGGGAACATTATCGCCCTTGCAAGTAGAAGGGCTAACTTTGCATGGTTCTTTAATGCATTATT